ATGAATCCAAATTCTACGATAACCCAAACAAGACAGGATTAGCTCAGCATTTGCTTTATGAGGGATATTTTGGAGACGTATCCAGTGGCTGCTCACAAGATTAAAAAAAAATAAGTGAAAAATACAGGATTCTGTACCTGTATTTTAAGAAAGCACAAAAGGTGGATGGGGAATGTTGGTTGAGAGGTAGCACCTGAGTCCGGAGATCCCGGTCCCAGCTCGGCAGCAGAGCTGGGGTGTGATGGGGAGCAATGCCCTCCCAGTTTGCAGCCCTGGACAGCTCTGTCTGTAGAAGGGTGTTACAGCACCCGCTACAGAGGGGCTTCCTGAGGCACAATTAATTGGAGTTTAAGTCCCATAGAATGGCACTATAAAAGCGCAAAGCTTCTTATCTGTTTCTGTGCTTCCATGTGGTGAGACTCATCAGCCCCAGGTCTTGTGGCAAGGTTTTAAAAACACATGAATGGATTTTTTTCTTTTAAAAACTACACCTTCTGCTGCATGTGGGACTGCTCTTTAGGGTTTCTCTCTGGTCCTGTTGAAGTCACGAGAAGGGTTTTTTCCTGGCTCCAACAGGATTTGATGATTCAGGTTCTTCTCGGTCATCTGAGGTGGAGGATGGTGTGAACCATCATGGCTTTCTAGTTCCAGCCACGGTTTTTAGGTTCCTCAGGTAGGTACAAAACCTGGTAATACCGACATACATAGACAAGGTGGGAGTGTGGGTCAGCAGCTGATTTGGAAGGATCTTGAGAGATGCAGGATGATGCCTGCTTCACCCTCACCCTTTCTCACTGCCCATTGACAGTAGGGATTTGTTTTGCCATTTCTCCACCACGTCAGAGACTGTACGCATGTTCCTGGTCTGCTTCCCCCAAAATCAGCGTGGATTGCTTGTAGCATTGCTGGAAAACAGTTGAGATAACACAGCTGTCTTAGTACTGAAGTGAAAAAGGAGCACGTAAATGATTCATTGACCTGACTCCTCGGCGTGATGGTAACTCCCAGTAGGAGGAGCGGTAACTTTTGCAATAGCTCCTTCTAAATCCTAAATGAGGGAGTTCTATTTAAGGTGGTGTTTTGGAGACCTCTGCGAGCGTATCAGTCTGTACCTGTGAAGTTCGACTGTATGAGAGAGAGAATAGGGAAAAAAGGATAACTCTATAGCTGTATCTTAATTGCTTTTATGTTTCTGCATTAGGTTAATCAGGTTTTCTATGGGAATGCCAGAGTTTTTAGTGGTAGTCGTTCAAAGGTATTTAGGTTTTCCCCAGCGCCCTTAGATGTTGATGTATGAGATGCCTGGGCCATGTTCGCTCTGCTTGGCTGGAATTGGAGGTATCTGCTAAACTCATCGCTAGTGCCGTCCTCGGGAAGGAACAAAGGGCAGCTAAGAAACATGAAAATGAGCTTTTTAAAAATTGTTTTTTATTTTTTGATGTATGTGAAGGTTAAGGCCAAAAACTGACTAAAGGTCCTCATTTAAAAAAATTAATAAAACCTTTCTGCAATTCTCCCGTTACCCCTAAATCAGCTTCATTTACTGCTAAACCTTCCCTCCTCTTTGCCTCCCCCCAAGTCGTTTTGATTCTAATGTTGCAATAAATATTAATGCCTTTCCCAGATGCAACCACTTTAAAAATATATATGTATGTATAACGACCCACCAAATACTTCATGCAGATGCCCGGTTGCAGCTAAAATTTGACTGGAGAAACTCTGAAAGGAGGAAAAAGAGAGGTGTCATTCAACTTGAGGAAAGATAGAAATACTTGTGTGTGCATCTGAATAAAACCAACTAAATCTGGGGTGATGGGAAGGAAAACTGCCTTAGTGCAGCATGTCCAGTGAGTGCCAAAGAAATTGCAAAGGTCTTAGCACAGGTGGTGTATGTGAATATTGCCACAGTGCTGAAGTACTGAAAACCAAAGGCAGTGTTTTCAGTAGTGAGGTGAGGAATTCCCGATGCCCGTTTTATGATATATTAAAGGTGCACAATTTCCAGCAGCTCCAGAAAGTCGGGCACCTGTAAGGTGTCTCAAGTGGGACTCCCCAAATTGCTGTTGGTTAAATATCCTCTTTAAACACCCTGCGCTCTGTGCGTTTGGATGCTGTGGGCTGTTACTGCGATGAGGATGCTCTGCCCTTGTCGGAGCTCGGAGAGGAGGAGAGTCTTGTTTTGTGTCTATTTTTAATGGACAATACATTGGTGTAAATCAGCGCAGACCTACTTGAAATCCAGGTTAATTTTCAAATTTCTGTTTGCTGGGGATCTGAACCCCAATTTTCTGCAGATTTTTAGCAGAAAACACCAATTCAGTTCATAGCCATGCAGTGTTCAGAGTTCAGGCACCGATACTGTTAAACATTTATGATTTTTGCCTTTTAGTCTCTGCTTTTAGGGGTTTGTGTAACCCCGAGAGCCGCAATCTCTCCCCAAAATCAGCTCAGCCGACAGCGCCTTCCCCACAGCCCTCTCCTTGCTCTGCTTTTCTTCATTCCTGAGCTCGTGTTGAGCATTTTCCTCACCTGGAGATGTGGTGCGAGCATTCTAAAAAATCTAAAAAGAAAACTAGACACTTTCCTGATAAATTTGGTCTTTTTCCTTAAAAGCAACACCTTCTTGAGGATTTTTGTTTGCAGCTAACCTCCAAAACAACCAGTAAGCCACCGGCTCATTGATTGTCATGTAGAAGTGACTTATTTTGGTTTCATGGTATGGTTTGGTTCCGTTGTGCAGTTTTTTCTTCCCTGGGCAGATCTCAGAAATGTGAGCGGTTTACGTGTCGGCAAATATATTTCTCTATCTGTAGGAAGAGGGCAGAGTAAAAAGGAGGATTTGAGGGAGAAACATTTCAAATTCTCCGGTGAACCTCGGAGTGCGCAGCGCTTTTCCTTCGGAAAACATTCTTACACATAACATCTTGCTTAGCGAATCATCCCAATAAAAGAGGCCGCAGGTTTTTAGCGTGAGGAGTCAATAAGACTTATTTGGTAGGAAATATTCACTCGGTGCTGCTCCTGAGGTTGGAAATGCTGTAGGATTTTTAGTTGTGGGTGTGAGGAGGTGACGGGGGCTCTGCTGCTGCTCCCAATGCCAAGGTGGAGGGACCCCAAACTGCGCCGCGAGGTGACCCTGGAGCCCCTTAAGTCGTAAATGAGAAGGGACGATGGAGAGGAAAATCACAGCCTGCAAAATGCACAGGCAGAGCAAAGAAATATTTCAGATACCGAAATGGTTTGTGAGAGATTTCAGGAAAAAAGGAGCATTTTTATTTAAAAAGCTGACTGGAAGGCTGCGTTTTGTGACAGCCATTTTATAAGACGTTATCTGGGGTTTTTTTGGTGGGTTCAGTTGTCGGGAGGGTTTCGAAGGGTTTTGTTTGTTCAAGCAACGTATAAATGGATCAGATCTTTTTGTATTTCTTTGTATGTTCGGGGCAGATGGAAGAGAAACACCGCGGCGTGAGCGGCGCAGAGGAAGCAGCAAGAACGGGGAGAGGGGATTTTTGCTTTATTGTCTTGCGTTCGGACTATTTTGGTGGTGGTTGTTGGTAAACCCTAGGAAATATACATCTTTCTCCTTTAAAGTTCTAATTCAAGGCATGAATGTGTGAGTTCTGAAGGGACTTAGGGACTGCGGTAAAAAATGGTTGTCATAGTAACAGAAAGGGAAATAGGCCTGGCTCACCTGGGACTTTAACTTACTGCAAAAGCGGATTTTTTTATTTTTTTTTTTTTAAGGAAAGCACTCGGCGAGAGAAATAAATAAATAAAATGTTCTTTGTATTCGAAATCAATTCTTCAACTCTTTCTTTTTTCTGATACGCGAGTCTTTTCCCTTCTCAATCTATCTGAAAGTCTCTTTTTTTTTTGAAATGTCTTTTAATTGTCGCAGTTAAACCCATTTTGTCCGACAAATGGGGCTGAAAAGAATCACAGAAAATATTTTCGCTGGCGATAGGGGTTGCCAAAAAAAAAAAATTCTTGCCTGTTATGTCTGAATTTTGAAGACGTGCTTGTTTTGTTTTTAATCCAACTGTAATTGTCCGTGGAGTTTCTTTACCTCTGAAATCCACACATTTAAATGGATTAATCAGATAACAAAGGGATGGATCCTCTCTTCCCTGGTTTTGACACAAAATTTTGTGGAAAAGCTCCTAGAAAAACGCCTGCATAGTGTTTCTAGACTGTAAAATGCAGCGTGTGGTGCTGGGCGAGCCCAGCGAGGATGCTGAGGGTTCACTGTGGGTGCGTGACAAGCGAAACTCTACAGAATAACACCACGTAAAGAGAGGGATGTGTGACAGGGCACAAATAATTGGCAGGAGAACTTTGTGGGATGTTAATAGGTTTATCTGCGTGGACAGCGGGAGCTGTCATGTATTACTTCAGGTTGCGTTCTTGTTATCCTCTCAAAATCTAGCTAAGATTATAATCTGCACTCCTGGCACTTCTGCTCTGGGTACTGAAATCTTAATAACGAACAGCATCGTCGTGATGAAATCTCATCGGCTTCTTCTAGGAGCCGGGTTTGTCTCGATGTTTTTTAATACATTCTAAGTAGTTTGGAGGCTTATCTGGCTGCGAGTTGCCCTGTTGGTTTTTGTAGTTTTTACAATGACATTATCCTTCTGTATTGTTTCACAGAAAATCCCTTCAGACAGCGAAAGAAAGAGCTTGTGTGGAAGGGAGAGATAAAGAAAGAGAATAAAATCGGGTGGTCAAAGGTGCAGTGGGGAAATGGGCACAAACCGGGGTAGCTGTGTGGACTGCTACCAGCTCACAGTGCAGTACAGTCACTTCGGTGACTTTTCCTTAATTTTTTTAAACTTCTGTTTGGTACAATTTGGTTTTGTTTCTGTTTTGCTAAGTTCTCACAGTCCTGCTCTACTGATACAGCATCATGTAAATCACTACGATGTGTACTTTAAAACAGACTATAGCAGCACACGTTTTGTTGTGGTTAATAGAAGTGATGTTGTTCTTTATCTTTCCAGATTCTTCTTAAAATTTTTTCTCAAGTGCAATCAGAATTGTTTGAAAACAGCAGGAAACCCAAGAGATATGAGGCGATTCCAGGTAAGTCTTATAAAGCTCAGCATTAACCTGTCTGCTTTTTTTCATCTTTTTCCTCTCAACTCTCCTCTCTCCTCCATTGTTCATAATAAATCTGATGACAATATATAATAAGCCCTATCAGATATTTAACAGATACCGTGAAAGTTTCTCTCTATTTGTTGTGTTTAAACCTTTTTTGCCTCCTTTTCCACTCTGAATCCCCAAGGGGCAGTGATGTGCTGTACCAACCAGCAGTGGATATTTGATTTGACACCCTCGGGCAAAGCACTCGCACACACGCAGCTGCCCACAGCAGGGATCGTGCTTGTGATACTCAGATGCTCAGGATTTTTCAAAGTAGCTCTGTACGGGTACACAAGCTGTCTCCTCATTTCCCTCCACTCCCCAGCTCTTTCCGTCTCTTTTGCCTTTTAACTCTCTCGTGCCCTCCCTTTCAGCTTCTTCCAAAAACAAAGCAGCCCAAATAGCGATGGTCACTTTAAGATCTCCCGCAGCAAAGCAACAAGGCCCAGGGGACGCTGACCCAGCTGCTTTGCAGGGAAATCTGCCACTGGGTTCATCATAGCTCTCGCTGATGGATTGTGAATACCAGCTCATAAAAACACAGACGGGGGTGAAGAGAAAGGCAGACACAGCCTCCCATCTTCCAGACCCTAACCCTTTAAGCCACTATGGTTAATAAATAAATGTTTTACCTGTAGCCTTAACAGAAATGTAAAGGGGATGCTCAAGCCTGTCACATTTTTCCTTCCTTTTAGTCTATTTTTCCACCTCTCCAACTGGGGTTCCTCACCTTGGTGGAACTTTGTGGTCATGGTTCAGGGGAGCATCTGAGAAAGCTCAGGTGTGTTTTGCCAGGCAGAGCCTCTGAAACCTACTGATGGAAAAGATGGCACGTAAATGCCATTACTGCTTGTTGCCGTCATTATTGTCCCTTCATTATTGTCCCTTCACTGTGTCACCTCCCTGATACAGAGAGGATTTTGGTTTACTGGGGGATGTGTGTTTTTCATGTAGCACCCACAAAACTTGTAGTAGGAAGGTGACATCCTTAGGTTTGGCAATTCCTGTTTCATTACTTGGGCACTTGCAGCAGCTTCCTCATTTATAAATGAAGTTAAAACTCCACAGCAGTTTACAGAGGTGTTTAAAACTTTCCACCAAAACGTGTTTTCAGAGACAAGGGATTTTTTTCCTCTTTTGCTGGCAATGAGAAATTCACAGGAGGTATATTTTAATTTAAAAAAAAAAAAGAGTTCGACTTTTAAGAGAAATACTGCAAAACGAAACCCTCTGAAAGCTCAAAAAATGTTAAAGAAATTAGGCAAAAAAATATGAGAGAGTTATTAATTTTTCGGTTTGAGCAGAAATAAATTTAGAGAAAGATTCCTGACCAACTTAATGTTTTTCATTGCTGGTTTAAAGAGACTGCAGTGACTCCTTCATTCTGTGATTTTCGAGATGATAACCAGGAGCAGCTCTTTTTTCTCATGTCTTGGGAAATTTATACTGGTATTTTTTTTTTCGAGTGGCAATTTCCATAAAGAAAAAAAAAGCACCAATTAGGAATCGTCTGCCAAGAATGCGAAAAAATCTGCGAGTGAAGGAAAACTCAATTTCTAGCACATAAACAGATCTTGTGAGCTCTGCGAGCCAGCTCGAATAGCTGATTGTGGAATGTAATCAAACATAAATACAGTCTTATTTCTTCTTGTTTGGTTACAAATCTTGCACAAGCATATCCTGATTAGCACCTGGGGATTCAAGACAGTGCCTTATTACAAATAATATTGGTTGTATCGGCCAAAATAGAAACTCTGCATCCGAACCCACCTGAAGAAATTCAGATTTGGTTTCAGTCCCGTGCCAGCTGCCCCCTCGCTGTGGAAACTCAGATCCTAGATTTCGATCAGGTGCGGGAGGATTTTGGATCTCATTTTTTTGGCAGAAATCCCTCTCTATTATCAGCCTTATTATTTGTTTCTCTGTGTCTCCACACCCAAAATGGTGATGTTATAGACCCTGAACAGCATCAAATTTCCAGTGAAACATTGAACGGGGAAACGGCGATGAGCCCTTCAGCCCATCCGCCTGCCGTGCCTCTGCTGTATGGGAAAGCACGGCCTTGCTTTTGAGCTTTGTACCAAAATCAGCCGTTTATTGGAGAAGGAAATGAGCTGGGATGGACTCTTCAGCTGGGTTTTCTGCCTTACAACATGCCAAGCCAGAAAAATAGAGCCAAATGAAACTCTCTGAGTCTGTTTTGCAGGGCTTGCTTAAACTCCTTGTGCACTTCCAGTCCGTGCGAGTTCACACCCTTGAGTTTCACTGTGAGATTCAAGTTCAAACCCCAAAATTAATCAAGATCAGACAAAACCACTGGGTTTATCTCACTTTCTGTCAAAGCAAAAAAACGTTGGCGAGGCTTTGGTTCGCAGTTACAAAAATGAACCCTTTGAGACATTGCAAAATGCTTGAGGTTGTGAGTGAAAGCAGGATCTTCATTCAGGCTCGTTCAAAACTGGGCACGTCGGTTGAGGAGCTTTGTTGTGGGCTGCAGCGGTCAGTGTGTCTAAAAAGTGATACCAAAAGTACTTCAGTTACTAAAATTTTACACTTTGGGAGTAAAAAAGCTCTGTTCCAATGGAACTTAGCCATGAGGAGCTGTAAAGACGATACGCCTGTTTTCTTTCTGTCTTGTTGTTTCTAAGGGGAGATGCAGGACTTGCCTGAAGTTAACAGGATTTGAGTGTTCTTCAGTGCTCCACTGTCTCTGTCTTCTGGATCCTCCTTTTTCTTGGTTGGTTTTGGGTTTTTTTTCTTTTGTTTTGTTTTAGATTTGGGCAAATACTTTTTATCCTGCTCTTGGTTGAGCGTGGTCTGGCCCTCAGAGTCAGAAGTGGGGAAAAAAGACAGATCACTCCAAATACTAGTGGTGCACTTGCACACTGTGAGCACCTTCCCTTTAATTGTTAAGATTTACGTCAGGCAAAGTCATTAATGTGCAGAATTGTTTATTAGGTTTGAAAGGACAATTTTTTGTCCTACCAGTACAGGAGCATGGGAGCAGAGTAAAAGCAGGGTCAAAAAGCGCAGTGCAGTAGGATATTTTATTAATTTTATGATTTAATTCATTATGTTTTATTCTTGGGCCACATCTGAAACATTTCTTTTCCCATAAATTATTTGTACAGCTGTTGTTATTAAGGCCCTCCTCTTTCAAACATTTCCAGGCCTTTAACTTTCCTTACGCAAACAGACTTCTGTCTTTTAATTTGTACCAGTGTTTTTCTGCAGAACCAGATCTATTCGTTTTTCAATGGAGTAATGCTTGTCAGATCTCCAGGAGAGACATTAAGATACATTTTGTTATGGTTATAAAAAAAAGCAAAAACCAGAAGAGAGAATCTTTATATCAAAGTTTTTGTTTCAGTTGCTATTGAAAGCTGGAACTGAAAGGGTTAAAGAAACCCCGTTTTCAGTCTTTAATGGAGATTGAATGAAAGCCCCAAACTCAGGCTCTGTTGTTGAGTCACAGATACAAAGAGGAGACATGGAAATAGTGGTGTGCAGCGCATCTTGTTGAGTTCTTCCAGCATGGAGGAATGGTTACTCATGTCTGGAAACGTGTCAAGTTAATGCTTCTGATTAGAGGTGGGTGTGAAGCTGCGCACTTCGGGCTCGGCTTGGCTGGAAACCAACGTTCCAGGGCGTTGGGATCCAGTGAGCCTGGCCCCGGCCTCGCTTCTCCATGTGTTGTGAGATTTCGATGTTGTATAGGGTAGTTACAACTAAATGAAACGTTAGGTTTCACTTCTGTCACACCCATTTGAAAACAGGGAGGTGGGGAGAAAAAGGGGTGGAAAGGTGACATTAACACTGCATTGTAAATTTAATACAGCTCCAGATGCCTGAAGAGGGGTGGTTTTTTTTTAGTATAATTCTTTAGTTTGGAGAGCAGCACCAGCTGCTTTGTGATCACATTTAACTGTTTGAAATTTGCTTTGATATTAAGGAGAGCTTCAAAGATACAATGAAAATCTCTCAACTTGCATTTTTAAATCAAATACTAAGGTTCTCCACTGTTAAAAAATAGTTGTACCTCAGAAGTTAAAGGACATGTGAGCATCATCTTAGTGGGGTTGTCCCTCCAGTAACATAATTTGATTGTGAATCACTCACTACTTCAGTGTCTGTCAGTGGCTAAAGCAGGGAAAGGGGATCTTTCTTGAACTAATGGATATTTTCATGGTTACTTGATGGCTGCCCAAATGTGTATGCAGATCAAGTGATGTGTGCTTGTGAATTTAACCGAAACAAATATTGATTACTTATAGATTAAAATATTTCTGTTGTCAGTAGAAAACTGAGACAAAAAGGATGTTAAAATCACCCATTCAAACCATAGTGCTGCCTATTGGAGTTCGGCTAATCTGCAAATGTGAGTTTTCGCAGGTATTGTCAGTTCATTGCTGTGTTCTCAGTGAGGGATTCTTCCAGGAACAGAATAATAAAAATTAAAATATGATGCCCTCCATTTAATGAGGACTTCTCCTAGACAACTTGATTGAAGCCCAATCATCCTTAATGGTAACGACCGGTGTGTAATGGGGGACAATAATTCTGTGGAATTAAGATGAGGCACTTCAGCTAAAATGCTTCAGCTGAGACCTGGCGCTAGCGCATTAGACTCCTGTTGACTGGGAATTCTGCTTCATCCAGTAACGTCCTGATTAAACGGATCCTACAGAGGGAACAGCACATCAGTGCTCACAGTGGTCATCTTTGAACCAACACACTTTTCTAGAAATAAAAAGAGAAAGGTCAGTAATTTCCTTGGTTTTCAGCAGATATCACGACATGGACTGTTTCCAGGCAGGGATCCCCCTCCAGGTGCTCTAGGGAGAGAGAGAAAGGAGAAATAACGAGGTGTATCCCTGGGGTGATTCCCTTCCTGGCCTCGAAGTGGTTGGTTCAGTTCATCATCGGGCGCGGGAGCA